GGACGTCAACAAGATGAAGCAGAAGAAGATGTAAACAACGCAGAAGACGAAGGGTGTGTGCTTCTACACTACCGAGGAACTCTGGTGTGGCCGTGGTGGAGGCTGAACTCGCGTAGCTGCGCGAGGCGGAGGAGCCAGCGCTGGCCGTTGGTGGTGCCGTCCTTGCCAGTCACGTTCTGGAGCTTCTCGCCTTCGCTACTCGCCGTCGCAGAAGTCGAAGTGTTCGGTGGTGGTCCTATAAGAGTATGAGGGCGTAGCGGCCGCTCTGACTTAGGGCACGAGGAATCGGTAGTGGTGCGCGGCCTCTGAACGTGCCCTGAACTCTGCCTCCTCATCATTATACTCCTGCATCTCATCACCTCCATCCTCCCCACTCTTGTCCATGTTCTCCAAGGTGAGCCCAACGTAGGCACGGTCCACCTTCACCCCCATCAGTAGACTGAAATCAGAGGAAGAAGATGTAGAAGAAGAGATGGTGGTAATGCGGTGTAAAGGAGGGTCGGCTCTCTGCTGGGGTTGGTGCCAACCGAGTTCGCGCTTGCTACGTAGCAAGCGCAGCTCTTCGTCGATCTGGGCGATGCGGCCCACTCAGCTCGACCCGCTTATGCACCAACCGAGCTTCGTGCTCGACGAGACCATCAACCAGCAACGCGGAGGAGCGGTCTTCCTCGACCACATCGCGACGGTATCGCTTGCACCTCTGACGCGTTCGCCGTTGTATGTACCTCTCCTCCGCCCCGCCCTCCTCCTCTTCATCGTCGACTCCTTCCTGTATGCGGCCATTCACCTCCCTGCGGCTCCGCCTAGCCGCGGTAGCGAGAGGTGGTGCTGGAAGTGGCGGTCGTGTAAACGACGGGCAGCGGAGGGCATCAAGGTGCTGCAGACAAACACACAGCCGTACGGACACAGATGATGAGTGCCTCCTCATAGCGTACAAGTAGCGGGGGGGTAGGCCTGCCACCTGGACTACTGGGAGCGCATCAGGGCAGTCCTGCCTGCTGACCATGTGCATGCCACTGAGCTTCGTCTTGAGTAAGTGGATTGTGCTGCTTCTCTGGGGTGGTTGTAGTGCGACCCGGTTGCAGCTGAATCCCTAATATGGAACCTGGGCAACATGATCACCTACCGAGGTGTTTTATGCCTCTCCTTCTTCTCAAGATAGTCCACCTGGTGCAGAGGAAGGCTTGTCAAGTACTGAGAACATGATGGCATGTTGTCAAATTGTTGGACATGGTCCACATCACATGCTGAATGCAGTACAACAATTGGTTGAATGGGTTACATTGGAATTGAGAGCGAAAACAATAGCAAAAAAAGAGGAGGGAGTGCTTAGTGGCCCGGAGGGAACGGGTTGTCCTGCTCGAGCTGGAGGTTGGCAAAGGTGTGGTTGACCTCCCTGTGGTGCGCTTCGTCGGCTCTGATCAATGCCACCACGTCCCTCCACTTGGCATCATCACCCTAACACAGCAGAGAAGAGGCACACGTTGATCAACATCACCGCTCCCTGGCTTCTTCTTCTTCTTGTTGTTGTTGAATGGAATCATCGTACCATCTTCCAGTATTGGCGGGCGATCTCCGGGGCGGGAGTGTCCTTCCACTCGGGCAGCTTCCCGGCGTCGAGGTCGTGGAGCAGGTGGGTGTAGGTCCTCACCGCCTCCTCTTCGAGATAGCCCACGAATCGATGACAGAACCTGCGCAGACCGCACGACACACACGACACACACACATGACGCACACGTGACGTCAGCTTTGTGTGTGCGTGCGGTGATGACGACGATGAGGCGGGCGGTTACCGCGGGGAGACGAGGTAGGCGGCGAAGAAGAAGTTGAAGAAGATGCCCTGAGTGACCCACACGGCGGTCCTGAAGATCTTGCCAGGCTGCTTGAGCTTGAGCCCCGTCAACAGGTGCATGCGCTCGTTCTCGGCCTCCTCCTGCAGAGCGTTAACGCCGCACACGCACACGATCGATGGTTAGTCACACACCGCACACGCGCGTGCGCACACACGACACACGACACAACACACGTGCGTACCAGGAGAGTGTGGATCCAGCCGTGGTCCCTCTTCAGGCGGCGCAGCGAGTGGAGGTGCCTCAGGATGGCGGCCACGGAGCCGGGCACGCCCGCCACGGTCTCGAGGAAGATGATTCGACGCAGCCAGTCGGCCTCCGTCAGCTTGCCCCACGAGTACCCGCTCATCCAGTCAAAGTTGAATCTGTGTGTGTGTCGTGTGTCGTGTGTCGTGTTGTGTGTGTGTGTGTGTGTGTTGAGAACAGCAGCAATGGGAAGCAAAAGATGGAGACGTACCTCATGAGACGCACGGTGTTGAGGGCGAGCTTGTCGGTGAGGTTCTCAGGCGGCGTGTGGTTGATCTCCACCGCATCTACGTACTCGTTCTGCCAAATGGGGTGCGGCAGGGTGTAGGCCACCCTCGTCGACTTGCCACTGCAGCGCATAAGCGGTCGAGTAGTGGTCGAGGTGAGTAGTGCTCTCTTCATCTTCTTGTTCTACTCAAGTAGCACAAGTAAAATGCAAAATGTAGAGGGGTGAATACCAACCTTTGCTGCTGAGCGCGCTCGACGGTCTGCTGGGCAGCGATGGAGGGGTTGGAGGCCGCGGCCTTCTTCTCCTCCTGGGTCTGCTTGGGCTCGCCGTCGGTCATGGCGGCCGACGTGGTGTTGGCCCGCGACCAGGCCAGTGCTCCTCCCTGGCACCACCTGCCGCGAGTGGTCATGGTGGTCGAGGTGGCCGACGAGGTCCGCGAGGTGGTGGAGGTCATGGTGGTCGGGGCGAGGCGAAGGGAGAGGTGGCGCCTGGCCTGGGCTAGGGTCGAGGCCCGTACGCCGCCATTGCCGGAGGCGAGGGAGGAGGCAGTGGTAGTAGCAAGCCGGGCAAAGGCGTCACGGCCGCCGCCACGCAGGCTGGCTATTCTCTGAGAACAGTGCTGCTTCATGTGCGAGTTCGTGCGTTGGGTTGTTACTGTTGCTGGCTTGGTTGGTCCAGTAGATGGCAGATGTCGTTTTTATCGTTTGTTGGCCTCTTGGTGCGGGGAGTTTAGGTTTCGCCGACCACTCCCGACGAGCCACTCAGATCTCAGTTTCGTTCATCCGAAAATTCAGTTGTATTCATCATACTTCAAATATTCCGATTTTAGTACCAGGCAGGACCGATGATAAACAAATATTTGAAATATGCCCTCGAGCGAACTTTCTCTTCCCAGACGGAATTGCGTTGTTTGGCTCTTGGGACGTGGTGGGCTTTCTGGCTTGGGCCTCAGCTTCGGCGCCACAATACCGGGAAAGCGGGACCGACAAACAAGTCCTGATGGGGAATAAGGTGAGGTGAGGGGTGCGGTTGGGATTCCAGATACCCCGACCAACACCACAACGTACGCCCTCCTGGAGGTTGGGTCCCAAGTCGCGCACGTTGGAGTGCCAGCCACGCCCCGACTGAAAGCCCACATGCTCCGATTGCATGTGCACTGCGACATTAAAAATGAAAGTAGATAGGGACATCATCATCACCAGCTCGCTTCGGTCCATGGAAGAAGTAGTAGACACGAACCCGCAATGGCGTAGCGCGTCTGGTGCGTCGTGTTGGGTCCTGAGCCGTGGATGGTCAAGGCGTGATGGAATGCCACCTTGATGAAAAGGTGAGTGAGTCTTGCAGAAGAAGACCAGGTGCCAAGAAGGGTGGTCGTACCTGTCCGGCCTTCATGATGGAGGGCTCATCGCTCCACTGGTCGCCGAAGGCGGAGAACTTGGCTTGGAGGGAGTCGAGGTCCTTCTCGAAGAAGGTGGCCGAGTCCGGCAGCAAGCCCCACTTGTGTGAGCCCGTGATCGTACGCAGACCGCCTGTTGCACAATAAATTCGAGATATATTTCTAAAGAGTTAATCTAATATATATATATGTGTTGGTGAATAGGCAGGTACCATTGGACAGGTCAGTGTCCTGCAGGGCGATCCAAGCGGTGATCATCGACGAGCTGTTGGAGACTTGCCAGAACCCATAGTCCTGCACACTCACACGTCCGGTGTGAGCGCGATTGTGTGGGCAGCGAGGGAGCAGGTGTTGAACGCACCTGATGCCAACCGATGTTGCCGGCATTCTCGCTGTGGCCGTCGGGACCCAGGCCCGGCTTGGCGATGACCTGGTCGTGCCACAGCCTGATCTCGTTCGTTCTCAGCAGCTTGGCGGCCGCCTCGCCGATGGCGGGCGAGAGAACCACCTTCTTCACCGCGTCATTCACCCACCACGCGTTGTTCACCTTCCTGCGGACACACGACACACATGACACACGCACACATGGCTGAGCACCACCAGCTGGCCCATCCGCAAGAGTGCTCTGGCGAAGTGGACGCACGTACAGTACGTCGGGAAGGTCCTGCTGGTGTTTGGACACGACTCTCTTCCAGTACTCGTACTCGTAGGGCGTACTGCCCCGATCGACCTTGCCCTCGAAGACGCGGTTCGCTTCCTTTTTTTTTAAACGAGTGAAGTGAACTTGATGATCTTCTGTGGCTGAAGCGGGTGGTGAACCTTGCGCAGGAGTTCGATGTCCTCGTCTTCAAGCATCTTGGGGGCCATCCAGTACCCCTTCTTCTCGAAGCTCTGCACGTCTTCCTCCGTGACTACGGGGGGAGTGAGTGTGAGACGAAGAAGAAAGGGGTGGGCATACCTTCTACACTGCGTAGTGCGATCTGGGCCAGCCGCTCGGCCGAGGCAAATGGAGAGGGGGCGGGCTTGGGCAGCGGCATCCAGCTGGTGGACCACCCCTCGGCCTTCGCATCAAAATCAAACTGTGCCATCTTCTTGGGCTATCCTCTATCCTCTAATTATTGGAGAATAGGCTGCGGTGCGTCACTACTGATAGGTCAACGATGCTCAGGGATGTTGGGTGGGAGAGCCTTGATCACCAAGAGGCGCATTGTCAGCCCATGTAAGGTAAGCGCCTTTATCTGGCCCAAAACACCAACACGAGGAGGTGTTTCCCCCTCGTGGAAACACAGCTGAGCTGCACACGGGTGAGACTGAGTGAGCCCACACCTCATGTTAGGGGGCGTGGGGAAGATCACAGGTTTGAACCTGGTTGGTGAGAGTGCATCTGCATCCCGGAGCCTCTGTTTGAACTTCATGGTCTCTGTGCTACACATCAGGAAATTTCGCAGCACAGTGGAGTTCGTACTGAAATTTCAAATAGCGAAGCGTACTACTGGGCCGTGGCCGCATTGGTAGTACCCCAACCCAACTGGCGGACGGGAAGGAACTGAAGAGGGAGCCACAGCAGGAGGTGGGCAAAACGATC